TCTTTGGATTAATTTGATTTTTTTATTATAAATCATATTGTAATTTATTTTTTGTATTTATTTGAAGATGATTCGAAATGCCTAAAGTGTGAGAGCTTTGTTTGTCTGTAATGAAAATTTAACTAGTAGTGGTTACTTACATGGGTGATTTGAGTCAGATGAATATACAATTATATTTAGTCATATATAGTCAGTCACATGTAGTCATGTATAGTCATGACTACATGTAACTATACATGACTATATATAGGACTTGTAGTATAATAAGTTATTTGTAGTCGATTTTAGTTCAGTAAATTTATCAACAAAAAAAATCATGTTTTTTTGTATTTTTCATGTAATTTGATTTTTTTATTATAAATCATATATGTAATTTTTTTTTGTATTTATTTGAAGATGATTTGAAATACCTAATGTGTGAGAGCTTTGTTTGTCTGTAATAGAAATTGTAATAGAAATTTAACCTGTAGTGGTTACTTACATGGGTGATTTGAGTCAGGTGAATATACAGTTATATTTAGTCATATACAGTCACATATAGTCAGTCACATGTAGTCATGTATAGTCATGACTACATGTAACTATACATGTCTATATATAGGACTAGTAGTATACTATAGTCATTTGTAGTCGATTTTAGTTCAGTAAATTTATCAACAAAAAAAATCATGTTTTTTTGTATTTTTCATGTAACATAACTCGCATGTTCCATTTTTCTGTTTAACTCGTATTTTTTTGTTGCAGGTTTTGCTTTTATTATAATTTTATGACATGCAGAGAATAAAATTCGATGAAGTGCCTTTGTGAAGTTGGATTCATGCTACAGTACTCCAGACTTATGCCACTTATATAACTATAGATAATTGTATATAACTATAGTCACGTGTAGTAACATATATTTATTTATATGTATGTTATGTGTTTTTTAATGTATAGTAATGCGTGTTCATGTTTTAAAGATTATATGCATGTGATTGTGTTTTTTCATTTTTTTTTACGTTAGTTGATTTATAATATCAAGATTAAATTGTGAATTTTGTTGTTGGTGTAGATTAATTTTGGGGAAAAAGACAGTACATGATTACATATAACTATACATGACTGTGGTATACTGTAGTCATATATAGTCAATTCAGTACAGTAAATTTATCCAAAAAAAATTAAAAAAATTAAAAAAAATTAAAAAAATTAAAAAAATTAAAAAAATTAAAAAAATTAAAAAAATTAAAAAAATTAAAAAAATTAAAAAAATTAAAAAATTAAAAAATTAAAAAAAATAAAAATTAAAAAAAATAAAAAAAATAAAAAAATACAAAATACGATATATATAAAAAATAATAATAAAATAAGAATTTATATTTTTATTAAAATAATCTATAAAAATGATAAATACAGGCCTAAAATGCTAAATGCAGTTCAACATTATGCTGAATGTAGGGGTGAAAATGCTGAATGCAGTTGGGTGGAAATTGAACGTAAGGGCCCAATAGTACTTTTACCTCTCCAGGGGGTTATATCAAAGAAAAAATTTTAGGGGTGGACCTAGCCCTATATAAGTTCCATATGAGGGGTGTACATCAAATAGGCCATAGATATTTCTGTGCGTTGGTTGGTTTGGTTAAAAACCAGCAATAAAACCAACCCAACCCATCCAACCAACTTTGTCAAATATTGGAAACCGTTATCGACCCAATTTACATGGGTTGGGTAATGGTTGAAAACCAATTTAATGGGTTGGTTGGTGGTTTGGTTGATGGGTCATCCATCTAAATATTTTTTTATTTTTTTTAATATTTTATTACTTGTTACAAAGTTATATCTTTTATAAATTAAATGCGACTAGTTCAATAATATTCAAATAAAAAATTCAAAACATTACGGGCATATACATTGCAATTAAACATAAATAGTTCAACAAATAATAATCGTCCAAATATTTAGACTATATGTCTTAAAATTAAAATAGTTCAAATTAGATAATTAGGTTAGATTTATTACTTTTAGGATTTTGGTCAATATTAAACAATTTAATAAATGTGATATAAAATAGAAATTTGAAATTAAAAAATTAAATATTTTAATTAAAATTAATAAATAATAAATTAATGAATAAAGTTGGTTGGCCGATATTAACCGACTAACCAACTTTTTAGCATATTAGAAACCATTATCGACCCAACTATACATGGGTTGGTTGACATTATCGACCCAACTTAAATGGGTCGGTTGATGGTTGATTAACCATCACAAATTGTGGGTCGAAAATGGGTTGGTTGATGGTTAAAACCGATCCATGCACAGCCCTAGATATTTGTATGTTCTCTCTTTTTGGATAATTACGGTTATAAGGAGAGTAAATATGAGAATGGCTTAAAACCCCAATTTCATCTTTATTAGGCAAAATCAAGAAGTTTGGTATATATAAGTTTATTTGAATTATATATTATGTGTAAATTATGGTGTCACAGTTATGCAAATTTAGTTCCTTAACATACTTATGTGTCATAATTTTCGAATAATAGTTTATAATTCAAACGATCCGTGTCACATGCAAGTGAAGTCAACTTTCGATCAATTATTAGCTACATTTATTTTATACAATGGGATTAAAAGGTATAATATGATTGTAAATTAGAGTCTCGTTTAGTTGAGAGATTAGCTATATTAATTAAATAATTGGTTGGATCGACCTATAAATACTATGTTATCATGGTTTATATTATTTTTTAGGCATGTTTTTTTATTAGGTCATCGAATGTTCAATAATAAAATTGAATTTTAATAAATTATTTAATTGTATGTTGGCTAATCTTATCTTGGAAACCAAAAAATGTCTAGCAATATCAG